CTGAATGAGGCAGTTCAGCTTCAGGAATTCACATATCAGTTAAATGTTTGTTGCTTAGTGCCTACTGTTTGCCAGGCCCAGTAGGTGCTATGAAAGCAGGTTGAAGACAAGCATGGGCCATTATTGAGTCAAAGTGGGAGACAATAGACAAGTAAGACGAATATTATATATAAGATGATTAACGGTATACTTCACAATAAAAATGTAGAAAATAATCAGGGATAGAAGATAAATTACCATGTCAGGAAGGAAATCCGATGGTGAGGGGGATGGAGTACCTGTATAGGGTCTAACTTAGAGCAGTCAGACCCTGTGTGTGAACTGGTATGAGTTGGATTTCATGGGCTATATGCAGGGCAGAGCCTGGTAACATCTTTTTCCCAGGGAAGGACCCTAAAGACCATGAGAAGGAGAATCTGAGGAGGATCAAGGAGATCCAGAGGCGCTTCCGTGAGCAGGAGCGCAGCCGGGAGCAGGGCCAGCCCAGGCCCCTGAAGGCTCTTTGGCGCTCGCCCAAGTATGAGAAAGTTGAGTCCCGAGTCAAGGCCCAGCTGCAGGTAACTGCCCCAGGGAGCCAGAAGTATTGTCCATCTTATTTGCCAGGAGTCAATTATACCCCGATCTGAGTTATGGGGAGAGAGGGAAATCCCAGGACTAAGGTAACAGGAGACTAAGAAATAGCTGGTTCTGTTGCAGGGGATTCTCAGAAGTGGTGATGGCTGGGTGTTCCTGAGGGGCAAGTAGGAATTAGGCAAGGGGAGAATGGAAGAGAACATTCTTTATAGATGAAACCTCACAGGTAGAAGTCCTAAGATTAGAGGGAGTGTGGGCAGTGGGGATGCTGTGTATACTTTACTGTGAGGGGATAAGAGCATGAGGGTAGGCTAAGAAATCAGCTGGGCCCATATGAAGAGCCCCATAACCCACTTTCCAAACTTTATTTCTCCGGGCAGTGGGAAGGTCAGGGACAGGGGTAGGGTGGTGGGATTCTGTCTTGGGTAGATGGTGGCACCATTTCTCTATCAAGGGGAAGATCAGGATTGAGAGAAAAGACAATAAGGTTATCTGGGGATGTGTTGAAGCTGGAGCATTTGTGAAACTCCCAGGGGGTGGGAGTGTGTCCAGGAAGCAGCAGATGGAGAATCAGGCCTGGATCTCAGGAGTGAGACCTAGGAGTTATTGAGGATCAGGCTGAGGACGATGAGACCAGGGAAATGACCCTGCATTTGCGGGCTTGGAAGCCAGCTGCCAATGACTTTGGTGGGGACATATCTAGGAAGCTTGGCTAGGAAGGAGAGAAAAGAATGGTAGCTGGAGCCAGAACTGAGGTAGGAGGGGTGGTTTGTTGTTAAGGATGTGAGAGACACACATGTTTAAATGCTGATGAGAAGTGCTTTTTTAAGAGGGAGGAGGCCCAGAGGGCCGGGGATAGAGGCTCGGTTTTGAGACCTTGACCACAGCCTGACTGATCCCTTTTCTATGCCCTGCCCTCCAGGAGCCTGGCCCTGCCTCCGGGACAGAGACTGTGCACTTCCTGCGGGCTCACTCTCGCTGCGGTCCTGGGCTCCCACCACCCCGTGTCCCCAGTCCCCAGCTAACCCCACCAGACCCCAATGCCAAGGTGAGAGTATGTGTGGGATAGAAGGTGGGACAGGGATCCTGGGGGTTCCAGGGGAACCACTCAGTGCTGTTTGCCCATCACGTTTGCCATGTCCTGCAGGAGCCAGGCGTAGGTGTGGACTTCATTAGCCACAATGCCCGCACTGCCAAGAGGGCCCCCAGGCGGCATTCCCGCTCGCTGCAGGTCCTGGCACAGGTGCTGGAGCAGCAACGGCAAGCCCAGGAGCACTACAACGCCACACAGAAGGGCCACGTGCCCCATTAGTAGGTCCCACTGCCCAACACCCAGGGTGAGGGATGCCTGTGGCAGGTGGGAGCCAACGTCTGCCCTGGGATTATCAACCTGAATCTGTGCATCCACAGCTTGTTGGAGCGTAGGGATTTGTGGCGTCGGGAGGCTGAGGCCCGCCAACTTAGCCAGCCGGACCCCGCCATGCCCCCTGGTCACACTCGTATGCCTGAGAACCAGCGTCTGGAGACACTGAGCAATCTGCTCCAGAGTGAGTACTGGACTGGATGAGGAACGCACTGAGGACCTTGCGTTCCTGCCTAATACTGTTTCTGGGCCCCCTGTAGGCCAGAGCCAGCTGCTGCGTGAGCTGGTGCTGCTGCCTGCCGGGGCAGACTCACTGAGGGCCCAGGGCCACCGTGCTGAGCTGGACCGGAAGCTGGTACAGGTAGAGGAGGCCATCAAGATCTTTTCCCGCCCCAAGGTCTTCGTGAAGATGGATGCTTGAGCCCTTTTACAGGGGTAGTGACGGGTCCTAGCTGAGGATCATTGCATGGTTGCAAAGGACAGGGTCAGGCCCCATCATCAAGTCTAAAGACAGCAGTAGTGTGGGGGGTGTGGGGGTATCCCCAGAGCACTTTTCCTAGCCACTGGTGGCTGCAGAAGGGCCATCCTAGCCCAGCCTCTTTAACCCTTTGTCAAAATTAAATTTTTTTGTACACAGTGGGGTTGGTTTCCTTAAGAGCTTTTCTTACCCTGTAAATTCTAACCGTGGTGGCCCTCCTGCTGCTCAACTGCAGGAAGGTCTCTCTGCTGCCCTTATCACTCCGGCCTCATGTCCAGGGCAGAAGGCAAGTCTGTGGGATCAGGGAGGAGGCTGGGGCTGGGACACAGAAGGACCGTCACTGCATTTGTAGAAAACCTTTAATGTTCCCCATACTGAGAAGGCCCTATGAACAAGCTAAAACCCCACTGAGGAGTCCCCTGGAGTGGCAAGGACTGCTTCCTCGTGTGTCAGAGGCTGAAGCCACTACCATCTCCTCGCATGCTACTCCCCCAGCCAGAGTTGGCTTGCTCCTGATTGTCCAGGGATGGCAGAGAGCTGCGGGCACTTGGACGCAGGTGGCCTGGGTGCAGGTCCCAGCACGGAGAGCCCTGAGACAGCCCATTGGAACAGGGAGGCTGGCGGTTCTCAACGACCAGATCACTACTGTCATCATCGCTCTCTGGCTCAGCAGGCCCAGGTCCGACAGAGGGAGGCCCTGTCAGACGCCCAGATGCCCCACGCACCACATTATTGCGCTGATTGGCTGGCTTGACAGTGACGATGAGGTTGTGGCTGTTGGCGACCATCATATCTGTCACTTGGTCCAGGGTCTTCCCAGCCACCTCAATGCCATTGACTTCGAGGATCTCATCACTGACTGCCAGCAGCCCTGTACTCTCAGCCAGGCCCCCTCGTACCAGGCGAGAGATGAAGATGCCTGGGACACGTTCCAGGCCCTGGGGAGCTACACGAACGCTCATGCCATCTCGGATGTAGAAACCTAGTGGGCGGTCGGAACCGTGCTTGTGCAGCCGCACACGCCGGTGGGTCTCAGGCAGTAGGTCCACATCTATGACTGAAGAAACCTGGCGGAAATCTTGGGGCAGGCTGATTAGGAGGGGTGGCCGGGTGCGCAGAGGTGCCACTGGCCGAAGTAGGAGCCCCTTCTTACGCCGCTGCAGAGAGTTGGAGGCAAAGGCTAGGACGCTGGAGTCAGCTTCTGGAGAGGGAGACACTGAGATCAGAGACCCTGTTCTCCCTTTCCCCTCAGGCCCAGACAGGGGGAAGGGGACACTATAACTATTTCCTACCACCTGGAGGTCAGCCCAAGGGCAGGGATTGCTGAGGGTGAAGCCTGAACACCCTGGGCATGAACTTAATCCCTGTAGACCTGCCCTGTCACCCTACCCCACAGAGGCTGCCCACTGTACCCCATTCTCCTCACCCCGCTTCTGCACTAGCAGGCGCAGCGGCTGGGGCCCACTGGTCAGGGCCCGGTGCAGGCTGTCGTCGTTGGTGAGAGGCAATAGGTCGCCGTGAGCATCTGTATAGCCAAGCAGCACGTCCAGCCCCGGGATCTGATGCACCGCACGCAGTAACCTCGAGAACTCCTGGAAGCCGCTCACAGAAGCGCGGGGCAGCGCGAAGCGTCGGAACTCGGCGTCAAACTAGAGGCAGGGAGTGGGGGGAGAGGAGGGGTCAGGAGGGAGCCTGCGTCCTTTCTCACCACAGGTCGAGGAGTGGCAGGGGTGAGAAAGCGGGCTGCGGCAACAGCTGCAGCCTTGTACCCAGACCTCAGCTCCAGTACAAGGGACGCTGTCCAAGGTCTTCTCCCCGCCCTCCAGGTAACCCAGGCCACAGTGGGACTCCAGAGGCCGGCAGGGAAAGGAAGAAGGACGGGCGCGGGAAAGCGAGAAAAGCCAGAGAATGGGATGTGAAGGATAGTGGAGAGAAAAAGGTGGCGGGACCAAGGAGCCAGGGAGGGGAGAATGAGGGAATTGGAAGCACCTAGAGCCGAAGCCGGAGCTAGGACTGGAGGGGCCCTTACTTTGCTCTTCACCTCCACGATGCTGTCCGGACTGCGCGCCGGGGTTCTCTGTGGCCTGGCCATGGCGGGGCCGGGCGGGCC